GCCAACTCTCTTTGATATGGAGTTGTCCTTCACAGACCACAACGGAGCCAGCGCCATCATGTAATGGCGACCACAGTCCGCAGGACTCATCGTTCTATAATTTTCATTGTAGAGATCTTTCACCACCTTGGTTAGGTTAGTTACAATTTTGCTTGTTTGTTTATATGATTTGGAGAGGTGGGTTGTTTGTTTTTTTCATTTAATACAAATAACCAACTGAACCTCACAGCCTTGTCTTGCCTTCTTCAAAAGTACTCAGAACAATTACATTAGCTTACAGTTAGGTAACAAAGCCTCTTTTACACATGATGACACTGTGATTTTGTCTCTGACAGGAAGCTATACCTGGCTGCCACTGCCAGAGTCATGAGAGTATCATATTAATTTTGCTAGGTTCTAGAGAATGTATATCACTTTTATGCCTTCATAAAGGTAAAACATTATATATCTAAACATCACAAGTAAGGAATTATCTGTATTTCCATTTGCCCTTTTCTTCTTTTTCTGTTATTCTGCCTTCTCTTGGTTTTAATGAACACATTATTTTTCTATTATATACACTCTGTTTATATAATTTATATCATGACATAATTTTTATTTATAAAGATTTCTTCACAGTGTACAATATACATTTTAACTAATCAGCATTTAACATCAAATGCAGGAGGATCATGAGTTTAATGTCAGCCTCAGCAATGGAAAGGCACTATTAAACTCAGTGAGACCATCTGTAGTAAAATATAAAATAGGGCTGGGGATGTGGCTCAGTGGTTGAGTTCCCCTGAGTTCAATCTCTAGTACCCAAAATAATAATAACAACAACAACAACAACAATAATAAACTATTTCTAGTGTACTGTGAGATTCTTGTAACAATATATCACCAAATCCTGTCTTTTATTCACTTTTAAATGTGTTTAAACATGTCACACAGCTTTACTAGCTATGCTTTAAAAAGACAGTTTTCTTTTAGAATAATTAAAATTCAAAACAGTTAATTTTATCTTCATATAATTCAATTACAACTATTTCTTTATAGAGATCCAAATTCTTACTAGTGTCAAGTTCCTTCTAGCTGGAGGGCTTTCCTTAACATTTCTTGTACAGTAGATATTTTGGTAAATAAAAACTTTAGTTTGTATTTGCATGATAAATTATTTTTTCCGCTTTAATGAATATTTTTGCTGTGTATAGAAAATATCTAAGTCAACTTGCCTTTTTTCTTTTGGAACTTAAAGATGTCATGACATTATCTTTTGTCTTTCAGGGTTTCACATGAGCATCTGCCATGATTCTTATCCTTGTTCCTTTGAAACAACTTCTATCTGGCACCTGGTGCTTCTTCCTTTTGTCTTAGTTGTTGAGCAGCTTTCATGTAATATGCCTAGGTCTGTTTTGCTCCACAGTTTTCTTATTCTTGGTATACTCTGAACATTTTAGGTCTGTTATTTTTTGTGTGTCATCAATTTTGGAAAATTATCAGCCATTAATTATTTGAATATTTCTTGAGGACATTTGCATAACCCAGCCAGGAGATGGTCTCTGCTTCAAGCTTGCTATTACTGTGGTTAATTTCAGTAACCACAAGAAAGGCATTGCTTAGTAATACTTATATTTGGGGGGGGGCAGAATATTTCATCAAAGTTATGTTTGGAGGGTGGGTGCAGATATAT